AGAGTGGCGATCCTAATCAGAAGCCTGCAACATTTCCTCTAGATTGCGGTGACCATAAAAAGGGACAGACAACAAGAAAGAAGGAAAAAAAAGGGTCGTAAAGCAGTCTAACTCCTCCCCTCTCCCCTCTCCCCTCTCCCCCCTCTCCCCCCTATACCCGGCCAGTCCCCCCCCACCCACCCCCTTTTCACACACACTAGTTCAGGCCCTATTTCCTTTCACTCCCTCCCCCCTTCCCCCTCCCCCTCCTCCCTCCCCCCATGCTACAGCCCGACCTCGATTCCCCTTTGTCCCACGTCTAATAACCCATTACCCCCTTCTAGCCTCCATTACTCTCAACCCCCCCCCCCTAAATATAGCCCCATTTCCCTTAACTCTCCCCTAAATATAGCCCCATTTCCCTTAACTCCCACCTAAATATAGCCCCATTTCCCTTAACTCTCCCCTAAATATAGCCCCATTTCCCTTAACTCTCCCCCAAATATAGCCCCATTTCCCTTAACTCTCCCCTAAATATAGCCCCATTTCCCTTAACTCTCCCCTAAATATAGCCCCATTTCCCTTAACTCTCCCCTAAATATAGCCCCATTTCCCTTAACTCTCCCCTAAATATAGCCCCATTTCCCTTAACTCTCCCCTAAATATAGCCCCATTTCCCTTAACTCTCCCCTAAATATAGCCCCATTTCCCTTAACTCTCCCCTAAATATAGCCCCATTTCCCTTAACTCCCCCACAGATATAGCCCCATTTCCCTTAACTCCCACCTATATATAGCCCCATTTCCCTTAACTCTCCCCTAAATATAGCCCCATTTCCCTTAACTCTCCCCTAAATATAGCCCCATTTCCCTTAACTCTCCCCTAAATATAGCCCCATTTCCCTTAACTCCCCCCCAAATATAGCCCCATTTTCCTTAACTCCTCCCCAAATATAGCCCCATTTCCCTTAACTCTCCCCTAAATATAGCCCCATTTCCCTTAACTCCCACCTAAATATAGCCCCATTTCCCTTAACTCTCCCCTAAATATAGCCCCATTTCCCTTAACTCCCAACCAAATATAGCCCCATTTTCCTTAACTCCTCCCCAAATATAGCCCCATTTCCCTTAACTCTCCCCTAAATATAGCCCCATTTCCCTTAACTCTCCCCTAAATATAGCCCCATTTCCCTTAACTCTCCCCCAAATATAGCCCCATTTCCCTTAACTCTCCCCTAAATATAGCCCCATTTCCCTTAACTCTCCCCTAAATATAGCCCCATTTCCCTTAACTCTCCCCTAAATATAGCCCCATTTCCCTTAACTCTCCCCTAAATATAGCCCCATTTCCCTTAACTCTCCCCTAAATATAGCCCCATTTCCCTTAACTCTCCCCTAAATATAGCCCCATTTCCCTTAACTCCCCCCCAAATATAGCCCCATTTTCCTTAACTCCTCCCCAAATATAGCCCCATTTCCCTTAACTCTCCCCTAAATATAGCCCCATTTCCCTTAACTCTCCCCTAAATATAGCCCCATTTCCCTTAACTCTCCCCTAAATATAGCCCCATTTCCCTTAACTCTCCCCTAAATATAGCCCCATTTCCCCTAACTCTCCCCCAAATATAGCCCCATTTCCCCTAACTCCCACCTATATATAGCCCCATTTTCCTTAACTCCCCCCCAAATATAGCCCCATTTCCCTTAACTCCCCATTTCTAGCCCCATTTCCCTTAACCCCTTACCCATCCCACCCACTAGTTCGGCCCACTTTCCCTTCAGTCACTTATACACGTGTCCTGACCCCATTCTCTTTACCCCCCCCCCACCCCCCTCCTCCAATCAGTCCAGGTCCCCACCACCAATCTAGCTCCATTGGACTTATCCCCTACCCCATCCTTTTCCCTTAGCCCTCCCCCCCCACCACCAACCCAGCCCCCATTCGCTTTAGCTCCCCCCCCCCCTTCATACATCCACTCACCGACCCCTTTCCTTTCCCTACCTTCTACCTCATTTTTTTTTCCCATTCTCTTCCCCTTCTTCTTCGTTTCTCCTTCCCTTTCCCTTTCCCTTTAACTTCGCTTACCTTTCCCTTCTCCTTTCCCTTTCCCCTCCCGCCTTCCCCTTCCCTTCCCTTTCCCTTTCCCTCCCCTTCTCTTCTCCTTTCCCTTTCTTATCCCTTCCCCTTCCCTTCCCTTTCCTTTCCTCTTTCCTTTACCCTTTCCCTTCGCCTTCCGCCTTCCCTTCTCTTCCCCTTCCCTTCCCTTCCGCCTTCTCTTCCCTTCTCTTTCCCTTTCCATTTCCCTTCCGCCTTCCCTTCTCTTCCCCTTCCCCTTCCCTTCCCCTTTCCCTTTCCTATCCCTTCCCCTTCCCTTCCCTTCCCTTCCCTCCCGCCCACCCTTGTTCTCCGCCCGTCGCTTGAAACTTGAAGGCAGAATGAACTTTCCTCTTTGGGGACGTGCTCTCGGAGTGGTCGGGCCGCCTTGGTAATCTTCTCTATAACACTCCGTTCTTTCTTTCTTTCTTTCTTTCTTTCTTTCTGTTTTTGTTTTTGTTTTGTTTGTTTGTTTGTCTGTCTGTTTGTCTGACTTGTCTGACGTGTCTGTCTGTCTGTCTCTCTCTCTCTCTCTGTCTCTCTCTCTCTCTCTCTCTCTCTCTCTCTCTCTCTCTCTCTCTCTCTCTCTCTCTCTCTCTCTCTCTCTCTCTCTCACTCTCTCACTCATTCACCTATTCCTTTCTCCAATTCCAACTCCTTCTCCCATTTTCATCCTAACCCCACCCCTATTTCCCTTATCATAACCATCCCCACTCCCCCTCCCCCTCCACCTCACTCCCACTCCCAACCCCATCCCCACTCCCTCCCCTTTCCATTCCCACTAAACCCCCCTCCCTCTCTTTCTCATTCCCATTCCCACTCCACCCCCTCCCTTCCCATTCCCACCCCCTCTCCCCTTTCCCCCTCCCATTCCCATTCCCACTCCAACCCCCTCCCCTTCCCACTCCCACTCCATCACTCCCTCCCCTACCCATTCCCACTCCACCCCCCATCCCTCCCCTCCCCATTCTTCCCCCTTCCCCCTCCCTCCCCTTCCCATCCCCTCTCCCCAACCCCCTCACCCCCTCTCCCCTCCCCCCCTCCAACCCCCCACCCTTACCCCCTCCACCCCCTCCTCCCCCCTCCAAGCGGACCCGCAGCGCGCCGAGGAAGCCGCTTTGCCAACTCATTTAGAGACTTGATCCCTTATAAGAGGATTCAAACCCCCGAGACAGACAGACAGACAAACAGACAGACAAACAGACAGCGGGGGTTGGCGCTTACATGATCAACCTCATATCTGTCAATAAAACGACTGTTCTTTTTTTTTTTTTTTTTTTTTTTGTAACCTTCCTGGTTTTAATATCATTGTCGGGGATTTTTTTCCCCTTTTTTTCTTTTTTATAGATTGTTGTTATGTTTTTTTTCCTTTGTTTTAAATGGAGAAAAAAAGTGGTGAATAGCATAGTTGTGATGGTGATGGTTATTAATGTTACCGAGACAGATGATGAATAAAAAAAGGAAAAAACAAATATATATGTGTATATATATATATATATATATATATATATATATATATATATATATATATATATATATATATATATATATATATAACAATCATGACAATTATTGTAGAACCTATACAAGGGCCTCGGATTTCAGTTAATAATGGCAAAAGGGGGAAAAAAAACTAAAAAAAGAAGAGGAGAGAGAAAAAACAAACAAACAAACGCAATGAATGGACCCGAAAAAAAAATTCCCTGGAAGTAATTAACAGCAGACATTAATTAGCACTTCCCTTCTTGTCACCGTCCATGCGAGGCCTTTTTTTTCGGAAGCTCGGCGGAGGGGGGGAAGGGGAGGGGGGAGAAAGGGAGGGGAAAAGGACATGGGGGGAGGGGGGAGGGGAAGGGAGGGGAAAAAGGACATGGGAGGAGGGGGGAGGGGAATGGGGAAGGGAGGGGAGAGAGGGAAGGGAGGGGGTGAGGAAAGGGGGATGAGGGAAGGGAGAGGAAAGGGGGATGGGGAAGGGAGGGGCCTGAGAGGATGAGGGAGGAGAGGGAGAAAGGGGGATAGGGGGAGGGGAGGGGGAATGGGGATGGGGGAGGGGAGGGGAAAGGGGGATGGGAAGGGGAAAGGGAGGGGAAGGAGTAAGGGGATGGAAGGAAGAGAGGAGTGTAAGGGGATGGGGGGGGAGGGGAGGAGAGAGGGAACGGGGATGGGGGTGGGGGGGGTGGGGGGAGGTGAAGGCTGCGGGAGGAGGGGGGGGGGGAAAGGGTGACACGAGAACAGGATGGATTGCAACGAGATGGACGGGAAGGGGAAATGAGACGAAGGGAAGGAGATGAGGAGAAGGTGGAGAGGAAGTGGAGTTTGGATGTGGTGTTTCCTCTCTGGCTCTCTTCCTCTGCTTTCTCTCCCTCTTTCTCTTTTATTCTCTTTCTCTTTCTCTGCATTTCTATCTCCTTTCAATCTCTTCATATTCCTCTCGCCCTCCCTCCCCATTCCTCCCTGCCTCCCCACCTATAACCCCTCCCTCCCTCCCTTCCCCTCGCACTCACCTATCCCCCTCCTTCCTTCCCTCTCTTCCCCTTCCCTCCCTCTCCTCTCCCTCCCTCCCTCCCTTACCCCTTCTCCTTCCCTCTCATTCCCTGCCTCACTCCTTCCCTCTCTCCCTCCCTCACCCCATCCTCCTTCCCCCTTCCTCCCTCACCCCCTCCCCCTTCCCTCTCCTTCCCCCTTCTCCTTTCCCTCCCTCCCTCACTCACCCCCTCCCCCTTCCCCTTTCCCCCTTCCCTCTCTCCCTCCATCCCTTCCTCACCCCACTCCCCTTCCCTCTCCTTCCCCTTTCCCCTTTCCCCCTTCCCTCCCTCCCTCTCTCCCTCACCCTCACCCCCTTCCCTCCCTCCCTCACCCTCACTACCCTCACCCCTTCCCCCTTTCCCCCTCCCCCTTCCCCTCACCCTCACCCCCCAACCACCTAC